AAATCAGAAACGCAGAGGGCGAGGGCCTCGGTGGGACGGTGGGAACCGGCCATGGCCTCCAGAGACACCACCTCCAAGGAGACCCGTCCACCTGCAGCTGTTCTCCGCGCAGCAGCTGTGTGCGCAGCGTTGCGATCCCTCATTCAGCGCCGGATGCAATAAGCATTGGATATTCAATGCGCGTATCCCTGCCGCTGGGTACAATAAACATGTTAAATGAAGAGCGTATACTCAAGCTGAAGATGTGGGAGGGGAACGTGGTGTGTGAGAGGCTTCTTGGAACACCATCCCTTTCCCAAGAGAATGATGATGTCCCGTTTTTTTAGCAAGAGTCACCACGCCATGGGCAAGCGAACTGGCGTAGCTGCCAGGGACGGCAAGCGCGCCATGTGAGCATCCAGCAGCCAGCATGTAGAACGGAGCCGGAGTGTTTTGTGAGAGGTGCCAGACGACAAAGTACCAGCTAGAGCTACACCAGCTGGAATTCCATCTGCCACTCTGTCCTGGTTTCTACTGGGACAGAGGAGTTTTTCTTTTTAGCAGGGCAGCTAGAAGAGCTCTGTGGTTTGGATTTAGTCTGGGATTTGTTACGTTGCTGGCATGCTGATGTTTACAGTTGGTACTGAGACACTCAGGACATTCCAGCTTGCCGTGTTCTTGCCAGCGTGCAGGAGCATAAGAGGCTGGGGGGGGATAGCTGGGACAAAGGGTTCAGAACTCCCCTTATGATTTGAAATTGGATTGAGGGCCAGATTGGCCACCGGAGTATTCCTTGTCGTGCAACGTCATGCCCAGTATACAGATGAGGGTTGACTGGGAACATAAAATAGTTTAATTCTCTTCTGTGGGACTCTCTCAATTCCTTGGAGTTCTGTCTCTTTCTCGCTCTCTTTTCAGGCCTCCTGCTTGTCCGGGATGGCGGTGTCGGGACTTACCTGTTTCGCGTTCACTTGCTGGGACAGGACAGGTGTTGGTCACCAAGCGGCGAGCAATTACACTGTGTGTCACTTGTTTATCTATATCATTACAGATATTGTTTTCATATATTGTTATTTTATCATTATTTTAATATTTTATTATTATTAAATTGTTCTTATCTCAATCCACAAGTCTCCTTCCCTTTTCCCCTTTAATTCTCTTCCCCATTCCCCGGGGGTGGGAGAGGGTGAGCGAGTGGCTGCGTGGCACGTACCGGCGGGGTTAAACCACGACACCCGTTGCTGCCTCCAGATACCACATACAGGACTTTCAGAGTGTAACTGATCTTTAATCCTTCAAAAGAAAGTCTACAATCCTGTCCACGTTCCACAGAGGAAGCGGTGTGTGTCATGGTCCAAATACTCAGAACTGCACTGGAGGGAGGAAAAGGGATGTCCTTTATGACTGTAGGCGCCGCAGTTTTACTTGGAAAAAAAAAAGGTGTCCCTCCTTGAGCAGGGGGGTTGGACCAGAGGACCTCCAGAGCTCACTTCCAACCTCAGTCTGTGATCGTGTGATTCTGTGTCCCCATTGCTGTCGTTTGGGGACATCTCAGAGGCTCTCCCTGCCCCACGCCCTCCTCGGAGAGTGCGGACTGGGTGCGTGTGTTTTCCCAAAAGCAGGGATCCTACACCTGGTGTGCAATAAGCCAACCCACACACTGAGCTGAGATGTTGTTTATTACAAAGCTGCACAAGTTCGGGTGCCTGTCCCAAGAGAGCACACCCTTCCGAAACTCAGTGAACGTTTATAAAGTATGTTTTAGCATATTTACATTTCCGGTGTTATTCCTGTAGACAATTGGTTAATTTTCTCTCGCCTGGCATGTAAATTGGTTTGCATGCTCAGCCTTCTGCCTTCACCTATTTTTTCTGAGTCTGGGGTACGTTTAGGGCAGGTGGTCCCTGAGTCGGTGGTCACCATCTCCCCCCGCCGGAATTACCTTTCCTCCAGTTACCGCCGTTTCTTGCTTACTTAATATCGTGGTAATCTTCCAATCTCGTCAACATTT